GATGGGTTAGAGAAGAGATTTGAGGTACAGAGACCAGTTAGAAGCTTTTACAGGAAAGAAGTAGTGAAGACTTGAAGACTGGAGCTGTATGAGTGAAGAGAATAGGACTCATAAGAGAGATATTATAAAGGCTCAGTTGTCTGCTATAAGTGTGACATAGAGAAACGTTTGAAAGCTTAAACGACGAAAAGATTTAAAATTTTCATTGTGAGAAATGAGATAGGAGCCACTGAGACTCAAAAAAACTCCAGGTACCCCATTCCTAGTCCAATCTCTTCTCACCAAACCATATTGTTTCTCAATAAATGAAACTCCAGTTGAATTATAATATTTTAGAAAAGTCTAAAAATCATCTATTCAGTTTTCAAGCAGACATGTACAAAAAAGAGAAGGGAGGGTAGATAAATGAGAAAGGTCCTGAGAACAGTATTGGAAAGTATAGAACCAAATAAGTATTAAATATAATACAAATGGCTTTTTAAGCTATGGTAGTGACAAGTGGAAGATCAGGGAAAAGGACTCTTGCTTGAATGAGAAGATAGTAACAAGTTAACACTGAGAAGGCAGAAATACTCAACTTTTATTTTGTCCTAGTTTTCTTTACCAAGAGCAAGCTCTTCAGACTGGGAAGGATAAAATAAAAATGCTTAACAGGGAACTGAAATATAAGATAAGTGAGGATGTGGTAAGAGAGCATTTAGATCTCTTTATTAAGTTCAATAATAGTATTAATAGCTAGCATTTATATAGTAGTGCTTTAAGGTTTGCAAAGTGCTTTACATATGTTAACTCATTTGATCCTCACAACAACCCTGTGAGGTAGGTGTTATTATCCCCATTTTACAGATGCAGAAACTGAGACAGAGAGCTTTAAATGACTTGCCAAGGGTCACATAACTATCTGAGGCTTAATTTGAACTGTTTTTTTCCTAACTCCAGGTCTAGCACCCTAACCACTGTGCTACTTAGCTAAATGAACTTGCAAATGTGACTGCTAAACTGTTATCAATGATATTTAAATTAGAGTAAACAGGATATTACTTTTGGAACCAAAACCCAGCAAATACCCTGATTTTCTTAAAAGCTGGACACCTAAAACTATGGTGTGGCGATCTTCATGTTCATTCTTTGCAAAACTGTATTACAAACGAAACGTTTATTTGGAACATCATGCCAATCTACCCTCTGTTTTTTGAGTCCGACTAATAGATCCTGGGAATGCAATAGACATAATATATCTAGATTCCTCCAACTAGGCATGTAGTAAAGTCTTTCCTGATGTTACTCAAGACAAAAACCAAGAGGCAGAGATTGATTCTGTGGGCTTAAAACTGGCTGTCCAACTAAATCCAGAATGGTGATGTCAAATTAGATGTCTAAAGGAACATCATAGGTCTTTGCTCTTGGACACTATCACAAAAACAAAAAAATTTTTTATCAATTACTTGGATGAAAGGATAGAAATGTTACATTTATCACATTTTCAGAAGGAAACTAGAAAGCATGACTAATATACTGGATGACTAAATCAATATCCAAAAAGGCTGTTGATAGAACTGAGGATGAAAGTAAAAATATGAAATTAGAGACAAACATAAAGTCCTTGAGTTGAAAAAATCAACTATACAAGTACAGAATGAGGGATCCATGGCCAGGATAGTTCACATGAAAAAGAACTAGCATTTTAGTTGACTGTAAGTTCAATTATGAGTCAGTGATAAGATGCAGTAGCCAAAAGGGTTAATTTGATCTTAGACTATGTTAATAGCAATAACATTTTGAAAGCAAGAGAATCATTAAATCCATTGTATTTTGTTCTGGTTAGATCTCATTTAGGTTATTGTGGCAGGTTCTAGGTACCATATTTCAGAAAAGATATTGACAAATTGGAATGTCTATACAGGATAAGTTGAAGGAGCTACCATGAGATGTCTTCAATATTTTCAGTGAAATGAGGGTGAGGGAACCTGATACTATATTATATGAGTAATGGTTGAAGGAACTAATGATGTTTAGCTTACATAGTTGAAGTTGAATATTGAATACTGAACATCACTAATGAGAAAGATGGAAGAAATTTTGGACTCAGTGTGCAGAGCAATGGGTGGAAGTTATAGGAGAGGCATATTTTGGCTCAAAATAAAGAAAAATCTTAATGAAACAGAACAGGCTATATTGGGGGATAGAGAGTAGGCAGTGAAGAGCTTCCAAACATTGTCTTCAAGCAGAGGCTAGACAACTATGTTGTAGAAAAGATGCATGTACCTGGTAAGGGTTAGAAGAGATTACCTCTGAGGTCCCTTCCAACCCCTGACTTTGTGATTCTAAATGAAATCATACTAGAACATCCAAAGATTGCATGGATCAATGTAAACCTATAAAGATGTCTCTAATGGTCGGTGGCAAGAGATTTGTATTTGGTTCTATCTCATTCAACATTCTGATTAATGATTTGAATGACTGATAGCACTGAGGAGGAAAAGCTAATACACCAGATGACATGCCCACCTTCCCCAGAATCTCCCAAAGACTCTGACAGGTTAGAATCATGAGTCTTAATCATCAAAATGAAATTTAATAGTAATAAACCTATAGCAAGGTGAAATACCAACAGGATGGGTGAGATCTATCTTATTAGTCATGTGTAGAAAAAAAAAATTGGATTTTTTCCCCACATATTTAGAACTGAATAAGACCTTAGAAGCATTCAAGTCTAGTATCTTTATTTTATAGATAAGAAAGCTGAGGCACAGAAAGGTCAAATGCTTTGCCTATGATCCCACAGTTAATAAGTATATCCACTATGCCATACTGATTTTAGTTGACTTTAAGCTCAGAATGATGCAATGGTGTGACAACACTAGGTAGAAAAAGTTATACCACCATAGGCTATGTTAATGGAAATACAGTATCAAGAACAAAGGAATAGTACAACTATATTCTGTACTTGTCAGAAATCTGGGGTACCATGTTTAGGCGTGAGCACATTTTAAGAGGAATACTGACAAAATGGAGTACATACAGAAAACAAGAATGGGAAGGTCTAGAAATCATCAAAGAAAGAAATGTTTAGCTTGGAAGAGTGACTTGTAGAGTGCAACATAAAAACTTGTTTAAAATATCTCAAGAATATCAGAATGTAAAAGAGGGATTACACTTATTCTGTGTAGCTTCAGAGGGGAAAAACTAGGCAGAACTGGCAGAAGTTACAGAGTAGATTTTGGCTCAAGGTAAGGAAGAATTTCCTAACAGACTGTTTTGCTGCCCAAACACTATCTTCCAAATACCTCAAGCCCATAACTTTTCAGCCATCAATTGCTCTTTCCCTCTGTCTATATGTCCAGGATATACTATGTCCTACTTATTCTTTTGCACCAGTCCTCTGATTCTTCTCCATTCTTCAGCCTAATTCGGTCACTTCTGAAGACTAGATTACTAAAAGGCTACCCTAAAGTAAGAAATGAAAATTTTCAAGACCATGGGCCAGTTCCATTTTGACCAATTCTTATTAGTCTCTCTTCTTGGGAAGCCTTAGTCATCCAACAAACATTTACTGATCACCAAGTCTACTGCATTAGGGGGCTAGAAAAGAGGTGAAAAGCAAGGCCTAGTTTCTCTCTATTAATTCTTGACTCAAATTATCACCTTAATCAACTGGCCTTTTCTACCTGTCTCACTAGCTAACTGTTCCAATTTTCTAATACATCCACAGTGGATAGCATAAACTATCCACTCAGCCAAATAAACCTGTTTATAATTGTCACTTAACCTATCTGGACCTTGGTTTACTAATCCATAAAATGATGAGGTTGGACTAGATCACGGGTTAATCTTATTTATATCTTAGATTCCTTTGGCAGTCTGGAGAAACCTACGGACCCCTTCTCAGAATAATGCTGTCAAGTACATTACATACATAGGATTGCAAAGGAAAACACTTACATTAAAAGTTATCAAAATACTTTAAAAAGTTCAGACCCCAGATTAAGAATACTTGCAAAAGGTACTTTCTGAAGTCTTTCTGTATCATTCTCTGAACCTTTATCACAATTCACCTATCTTTGTCTTCCCTTACAATAAGTGTTCCTTGCTCCTGTATAGCACTTCATCAATATTCTTACACAGATGATCTCATTTGATTCTCACAAAAATCTTATGAAGAATTTAGGGTATCCTCATCTTACAGATAAAGAAACTGAGGTTCAATGACTTGTCCAAGGTCCTAATCCATTACACTAATCATTACTACTAAAATAACTCTCATATATATACATATATAGAGAGAGAGGTTTTAAAGTTTACAAATAATTTTCCTCACAACAACCCTGTGAGGTAGGTAGTGCAACTATTATTACCCCAATTTTACAGATGAAGAAACTGAGGAATGAATAAGTGACTCAGCTACTAAGCGCTGGAGTAAAGGCTCAAGCCTAAGTATGGTGACTCCCCTTCTGGCACTCTTTCCACTCCACCACTGTCTCTCATTCATGCCACTCCTCTCTGCTTTGAATGCTTCCTTTCTGCCTAACCTTGTCCCTTCTTCTCTGCATAGCCTTCATATAACACAATCTGGTTAAGTCTCTTCCATCATTTCAACAACCTTCCCTGAGTAGCTGCCTTACTTTTATAAAATCAAAAAGGCCACATTTCTATGTGTAAGAAAATACATTCTAATATACTTCTGCGGTTTTGCTTGTCTGCTCCTATGTTTTCCATTTGTTTCTTCCATTAGTAGGTAAGCTCCCTGAGGACAGAAATGGTGCCACCCGCTTTTGCTATAAATTGGAATAGTACCTAATGGAGTGCTTTTCACTTAAGACTCAATGAAATGTAACTGATTAGGTCTTAGATACTTAATGGTTAAATGCAAAAATATGATTCATTGTGGGTATGAGTAAAAGTATGGTTATACAGCAGGGTCTTAGTCTGATAACTGACTTGGTATAACCATAGGCCAAAAGGAAAGAGGATATATTCTATATGTGATTCACAGACTTAAATCCAACATGATAAGCAATAAAGTCTATTACAATATCCAATATAAGGCACAACTTTTACAAATATGAAATCTAGAGCTCTGATTTTGACATTTTAATTTCTCAAATGTACTCACTCCCTGCAACAATGAAATAATTGGCCCACATTAGCCAAGCTTAGAGTTCAAGTGATGCAGTCTGTATCTCTTCACAGTAAGAAAACAATAAAAGATACTAACAAAGCAATAAAAAAAAAAAACTAAATTATGATCACCCAAACCTTATTTTTCATAGGAAATAAGTAATCCTGACAAACTAGTTAAAAAAAAATTCAGCCCTTAAAAGAATGATAAAGGCATAGAACATCCTGATCTTCAGAGGACAAAATGCCCCATGGCATAGACATCAAACCTATGAAAACAGATAAGGCCTGGCAAAAATATCAATAAGATGAAAAACTGCAAAATCTGTTCTGAGACATTCAAAATTCTGAATTCTTGTGTTACTTCAAAAAGCAAGTTAGAATCATTATGGATTCTAATTTGATTATGCTTAGTTTTACCAAGCAATGTTCTACTGGAAGACAATAGGAGAAATAGGTTGATGTGATAAATGAGTCATTTGGAGTTTTTCAAATAATTATTTAACAAAATAAAATTAGACACAGTGCATTTTTTCTATTTGACAAAACATGTTAATAACAGACTACTTCCAAAGATAAACGCTAAAATGTAAAAATGTTCAACTTAAGGTTGGGAGATTCAGTCTCTTTCCTACCAAACCATTATTTGGCCACTTCCTCACCAAATTCCTATTACTGTGTATGTTTGTATGTGTATATATACATACATATACACACATATATGTATATATTCACATATTCAGATAGAGAGATCTAGTTACTACTTCTCTATAACTGCAGATAGTCTCTGAAAGCAGCTGCAGTAGAAAAATTCATCACCATGAAGCCAACCTGGTGATGAACCTCAGACTAAAAAGGGCATGTCTTACAAAAAAAATTTTTTTTGAGTGATTCTATTATTTCCACAACTGCTTATATATGTGTGCGTGTATGGAAAAGCTAACTCTTCAAAAATCTTAGCTCAGAACAGGAGGTAAAGAAAAAGATGTCTTATTATTTCTCTAACTGCCAGCTCAGTTAACATATTTGGGATGACCCCAGAGAGCCCAGCAAGGACCTTGCTAAAATAACTGCAGAAACAGAGAATTCTCTGACCCACTGGTATTTAAATTTCCATGGGTTCAGCTTTTCAGTGCTAAGCTTATTCCCAACAGCAATTGTTTTCTTCTGGATCAAAGGAGACTCTAGTCATCAAAATCCGGAATGTCATCGTAAGAGTAGCCTTTGTAGCCTTTGGAAGCATAGTAGGCAATGCGCAAGTGGTAGAATCCTGGCAGGAATACCAGAATCCCAATTATCAGAACAGGAATGGCTCGGTCTGCTCCCTGGTGGTGGAAGAAGGAAAACACATCAGTATCACAACAATGTCACCAAAAACTTAACAGCAGCAAGATAAAAGATTATGGGTTTTTTTTAATCTTTCTGAACATCTTTTAGATACACAGAGGACAACTAAAGAAAAAGAACTTTCTTTATAAGGTAATCTTCCTATTTCAGTGTTATGATTTAGGACAGCAACAGTAAGTGATCACTCCCAGGGAAAGCTATTCGCCACAATACAGTTTTAAATGGCTAGTAGGTAAGAGTTCATCTTTATAACATTTAATAGCTTATGAAGTCAGTCTTCCTAACAACCCCAAGACACAGGTAATTCAAATACAACTACCTTATTTGACAGATAAGGAAACTATGTTCAGAGGTGAAGCGACAGGACTCAAACCTAGGTTTTCTTAAGATCAGCAACAAAAAGTACTTCACGGATTTGTCATTTTTTCAGTGAAAAGTCCTTACAACGACATTGATTGTAGCTTCTCTATAATTCTGCAGATAGGTCTTTGAAAGCTCACTGCAGTAGAAAAATTCATCACCATGCCACCAAACTGGAACCTCAGACTAAAAAGGACGTGTCTTAGAAAAATTGTTTTTGGAATGATTCTATTACTATTTCCATAACTGCTTTGGAACAATTCCAAGTATCAGCTATGGTTTAACAAAATATCTTGTCCTTTCTACTTTCACAACATCTCTCATACACATTTTCTCACTCATCCAGACACAACTAAACTTCAAGCTTTTATTATCTCTCTCCTGTAAGAGTTCTAACTGTTCTCCCTGCCTCAAGTCTTTCCTCATTCCAATCCATCCTTCACTCTGCTGCCAATGTAATTTTTCTGAAGTGTAGATCTATGTCAACTCCCTGCTCAATGAGCAGCCAGCCAGTGTTTTTTTTTTTTGCTTAGGCAATTGGGGTGAAGTGACTTGCCCAGAGTCACATAGCTAGTAAGTGTCAAGTGTCTGAGGCCAGATTTGAACTCAGGTTCTCTTGACTCCAAGGCCAGAGCTCTATCAACTGTGCCACCTAGCTGCCCCCAGTGGTTTTCTATCACCTCCAATATGAACTCTTGAATTTAAAGCCCCTCATAATCTGGACACTTAACCACCTTTCTAGTCTTCTTATATCTTACTCTTCTTTATAATCTAGCTACAATTGCCTCCTTGCTATTCCTCACACAGGAGACACCATCTCCCGTATCTCCATGCCTTTGACCCCGCCTATCCCCTTCCATCACCCATCCCTCTTGGCCCCCCCCCCAACAAAGAACACCTTGCTCCCTCTCTTCTGCCCATCAGTTTCACTGGTCCCCTTCAAGACAGCTCAAATCTCACCTTTGGCAGGAGGCTTTTCCAGGTCTTCCTAGCTCTTCATGCTCTCTACTTTCAGATTACTTCTATCTACTCTGCATGTATCTTGTATGTTCATAGTTATTTGCAGATTTTTTTCCTGCTTTGGAATGCATGTTTCTTGTGGGCAGGGTCCATTTCTGCCCTTTTCTGTATGCCCAGCACTTAGCACATTGCACTTAATAAATGCTTGTTGCCTGACTTAGCTGAGTGACCTACAGAAACAGCCTAAAAAGAAGTATAACCTATTGCTGCTCCAAATACTACTTTATAAAGTCCCAGTTCCCTAAATTTGAAGATTTCCTTAAAAATAAAAACAATTCTTTCCCCTTAATGTCCACTATGAATTTAAAGAATGTTCTGAAAGATAAAGATGGCCACTTTTAGTCTTCTCTGGTTTTCTATTTCTGAGGTCCTACAGAAGTCTAGTCAGTGGCCTTTCAATCTCTAGGCCTCAGACCTATACACTGTAGTGGTTCACCGCTTCTCCTTCAGCCTATATACTCACCCACAAAATTGAGGTCCAAGGCTCAGGGTGGGTAGAGAACTAAAATGGAAATCAGGGGCCAACTCTGCCACTGATCAACTGTCTGACTTTAGGTGAACCAATTAGCTTCTCTGAGCTTAAGTTTTACCACACATAAAACAAGGAAAATAACACCTACCATCTAACTCATAGGAACGGTGTGAGGATATGTTAAGAAGTTCTGTAATGGAATTCAATGAAAGAATGTGTTTGTGAGTTCAATGGAAGAAAATTAAATTTTCTTTCTTTGCTACTAGACAAAACTTCTGAGAAGTTTATTTGCACATGCTTTACTTGTCAAGAATAAAGATTTTAAAAAGTTTTTTATATTTTCAATTTTATTGTTTTGTTTTTAACATTACATTTACATATTACCCCTGTTTCATTAGAAGCCTCTTGTAACAAAATGAAACAGTTCAGTAAAACTAAAAAAAAATCTGAAAATTTATGCATTCCATAGCTGCAGCATTCTCTCATTTTACTGTTTTAAAAAACTTAACAGAAATCTATTTTTACCTGTTCTCCCTACTAACTCACTAGGGAATGGAAAGGAAAAAAGGGGGAAAAAAAGCAGATTTCTTCTAACAAGCAGAACAAATTCCCCCAATGACTCTCTCTCTTCCTCTGTCATGGAGAACATGTGTCTCATCACTGGTCTTCTGGAATCACGAATGGTCATCACTGCATTGATCTTGGTTCTCCCAGCTTTCAAAGTTGTCTTTTCAATGTTATATAAATGACTCTCCTCGTTCTCCTCATCTCATTCTCCAATAGTTTATGATTTTTATGATTAGTCTACCATTTTTATAATACTGATGTCCTAGTACAAACTGTTCTGTTTTTGCTCACTTCACTTGGCATCAGTTCACAGAAGTCTTTTCATGTCTTTCTGAAATAAGCTAACTCTGTAACATTCATATATCACAACTTATTTAGACAACCCTCAATCGTTCAATGTCCAACAAAAATAAAGCTTTTTAAAATTCCTGGATAATTTAATAGTTTCACAGTACTTCCTGAATACAGCGAAGGATCAGCTACACATCAAAAGACTTACCCCTTTGGTGATATAGCCAGCTAATAGCAGAGCACCTATGACAATGAGAAAGGTGCCAATCATAAATAGCACTATGGCAAGTGCTATAGCCTTGTAAGGGATTTTGGGAGGACTCTTCTTAAACTAGAAGGTGGAGGAGGAAAAAAAGACATTACAGAAGCATTAGGACTTGAGGTAGAAAAAACAGAACCAAAATAATATCTTCTAAAGGTCACTCCTTTACAACATACTTGTCCTCTCTCTTCAATCCAAGTTTAGAGGAGAAAAAAAAAAGGAAAAATGTTTTCAGAAAAGTAAAAGGAGAAAGACTTCAAGAAAGTAACCATTCATTCACAAGGCGATGGAGAAAACTCCTTAGAGACTAGTATACCAAATATTTAAAGGGAGTCCTGGTAAATTCTTCTTTCTAGCTCTTTATTTTGTTCATAAACTCTCAGAGTTCATCTAGTCCAACCTCCACCTTAAACTTCCATTAGATTTGAGGGTTGATTTGTGTGGGGGGGGGGCAACTGGGGTCAAGTGACTTGCAGAGAGTCACACAGCTAGTGAGTGTTATGTGTCTGAGGCCGCATTTGAACTCAGGTCCTCCTCACTCCCAGGGCCAGTGCTCTACCCACTATACCACTTAGCTGCCCCTAAATTTGTTTTTACAACGCATTGAGATACTACACCAAACACTAGGAATACAAAAACAGACATGCCATACCCTGCTCTCAACAAGCTTATAATAGTGGGTGGAGATGATTATGTCTACAACTATTATATCAGTGAGACAATGAGGACTGGAAAAAAGTGAAGCAAAGTACCAGGAGGATTTAAAGGGGAGATTCTTTTTGGTTTGCAGAGGTTAGGAAAAGGCTTCATGGAAGAGGTAGCATCTCAGTTACTCCTTGAAGTAAGAACTCTTAACAGATAGAATGAGGATGGGGATTCAATGGAAGGGAAAATACTCTCTACTCCAAGCATGTTTTTGGAGTATATTGTGAGCAAAAGCACCAAGACTGAAAAAAAAATGATGAAAAGAGAAAATAGGTCGGTTTGGCTGGAGCACAGTATGTGACAGGCAGCAATATGAGAGAAGTGTGGAAAAGTAAGCTAGAGCTAGAGAGGGAGAGGAAGGGGCTGAATGCCAGGATTTAGACTTTCTACTTGATTCCATAAGGGATGAGAAGCTACTGACGGTTTTTAAGCAGAGGGAACGATGTGAATAGTGCACTAGAGAGTAGGTACAGACTGTGGAAAGAAAAACCAGATGGGAAGCTATCACATAATCTAAGTGAAAAGGGTCTGAGCTATAGCAGTTGCAAATAAAGTAAAAAGGAGGGAACTAAAGTGAGAGATATTTCACAATCAACAGGATCTCGGTGCTGAATGGAAGTGTGAGAAAAAGTTTGATCAACTGACAAATATTTATTAAAAGCCTACTATACTAAGTGCTAGGGATATGAAGACAAAAATAAAACATTCTCTGCCCTCAAAGAGCTTACATTCCATTATTGTACAATATGTACATATATAAGTATAATCAGATAGATACAAAATATGAAGTAAATTTTGGGGGAAGGCAATAGCAGCTGGTAGGATTAGGGAAAGGCCTCATGTAGAAGATGACACCAAAGCTATAAGCCTGAACATCTGGAAAGATGATAGTATCAAGAGAAATGGGACACCTGCTATAAGATGACCAATGAGGAGTCATACAGCTTTTTCTTGAGGACTTCTAGTGATATGAAACTCACTCACTCTTTTTTTTTTTTAGGCAATCGGGGTTAAGTGACTTGCCCAGGGTCACACAGCTAGTAAGTGTCAAGTGTTTGGTCTGAGGTCGGATTTGAACTCAGATCCTCCTGACTTCAGGGTCGGTGCTCTATCCACTGCACCACCCAGCTGCCCCTGAAACTCACTAACTCTATAGGTAGTCTCATTCATTTTTGAAGTTTTAAATTATGAGGTAAATCTTCACATCAAGCCCGTAACCTCCATCCATTGGTTCTAGTTCTCTTGGGTGAAATAAAAAGTCTTACTCTATTCCACTGAATAGAATACCTCCCTTTGAATATCTGACAGAAGATACCATATTCCTCTAAAGTCTCTGCTCTTTTGGGCCAAACACTGCCACTCCCTTCAACCAATTCTAATATGGCTTGACTTCAAGTTCTTTCACTATCTTGGTTACTCCCCTTTAGACACAGTCCAATTTGTCAATGTCTTTATTAAAATGTGGTAAATAGAACTGAGTAAAGATTCCAGAAGTGGTTTGACCAGGCTTGTATTGGTATTATTCCTCAGGAAGTTAATATCATGAAAATCTAATTTCTTCCAGAAGAAAAAAAATTCTGTAGCCTTCTACGATAAAATAACTGAAATCTCATAAATCACTACATACATTGTTAGAGATCGTTAGCATTCTGCAAAAAGAGGGTCCTCAGAATCAACGCGACATTTGTGTGTCCAACAATTTTGGATATTAATGAAAGGTGAAAAGATGAATTATCACATCTCCAAATGCAATTTGCTTTCTTACCAACTGCCAATTGACATTTATTGACCACTTACTGGTAAGGAACACAGTAGTACACATAATAGAAAGGCAGGTACACATATACAAAAGAGGAATTTTCTGACATTCAAAGTTGGCTAACACCCTTATATGTTTTGGAGACGGACTATTACATCTACCTAACATTTTCACTGTATCACAAGGCAAGTGCCCTCATAATGACCTCAATTTGTGGTAAGACTTTGAGGTGACTCCTCAAGTTTTGGATCAACTTTCTGAACAGACTTTTCTGGAAGTCTCCCAGGTCTTTTTCAATTTTTATTTCAAATGCCAAAGCTGTAAGAATAACCCAAATATATATATATATATATATATAGGTTTGAGGTAAGATATCTTTAAAGAACCAGCCCCCATCAATTCAGTTTAGAACTTTTTATACTAAGGAGGAAGACAAGAGAAAAGAGTCAGTAGTACTACCTCTAATAAGTATAACCACTGTGGGAGACAAATTTAGTAACTGTTTTCTGTGTCTTTCTTACTATTTCCCAAGAAAAAGAAAATTGTCCATTAAAAAATATATCAGAAAGGTGAATACTTATTGATGACATCAAGAATGAAAACAGTTGCTCCTGCTATTTCTTTCTATTGAAAGCTGGCTTCCCTCTCTTTACAAAGTAGAATTGATTTGGTTTTAATTGAAATTCACATACACAGTTAACAAAGTGCTTTAAAAGAATTATAGCCTCAGTAAAATTCAACATAATTCCCTACTGAATTTTAAAACTCCCAATTTGTATAACTATACTGTCTGACTTTGGTGAATATTCTAGACATATCTCTAGGAAACCACAAGAGAAATTGACAAGACCTATGTTGTGCTGGTTTGACCAAGGGCCCCCTCAGTATCTACAGTTTTAAGGTTCCAAGTATAAATCCTAAGATCTAAGATCCTAAGATTGAACTACAGATCCTGTCATAGAGTAACAGATTTAGAGCTAGAAGGGACCTTTAAAGACTATTTAATAAGTTCAAACCCCTCATTTTAGAGATGTGGAGCTAAGGTCTAGAGAAGTTAAATGACCTGCCCAGGGTCACAAAGCTACTAAGTATTTGAGGCTGGATTTCAACTCAGATCTACTGGACTCCAAATCCAGTGCCCCATGTACTTCGGTATGTTGTTTTCCTAGGTGATTAAATTCTCTAAACACTGTCTTCAAAGGACTGTTGCAGAGTCTAACACCAGAAGATTTTTCAGTTATCTCAATAGAAATACAGCCAACTGACATCAAGTACTTTTTCTCTCTTTACTCACCTGAAGGTCAATGTAGCCTTCATCTGTGCTAGAAAGCTTGGAGTATTTCACTTTACTACTGGGGATCCCAGTAGTTACATTATTACGGGATGGCATCATAACAAAGAGACTGCTTTCTCAGCTAGAATCTGAAAATAGAGAAAATACTTGTTGACTGCAAGGACAAAGTAATGAATCACAGAATTTTAGAGTTAGTATATAATCTATAAGGTCATTTTTACCCAAAACGTGAATTCCCTTTACAATATCGCCAATAAGTGATCTTTTGGGTTTTTTGGGGGGTAAATTTTAAAATTTATTTTAAATACAAAACAAGAAAAAAATAAACATTGCTATGTACACAGAAGAACATAGGAAAGGATTCAACATAAAATAATAAATTTCCATTTCAAGAAAACCTATATAATAAATGCTACACATTATTTTCAAAGCTGCCCAGCTTTTCCTTGCCTCATTGCGGGCCTTCTTTTGTTCTCTGCTGTGTACTTTTTACTTTATTTCTTTTCCCCCTCCTCCTCTCCCTCTTCCCCCTAAGGAAAGCTACAAGTAAGCTCAGATATTGACATATAGATCTCCAAGCTTAATATACATATATACAGATATCTATAAACATACACATATACACTCATACACATGTACATAAGACCATACGATGCTTATTTCCTCCTTTCATCTGCTTCTCTAAAGGTGGATAGCATCTTCTTTCATAAGTCCAAGTCGTTCACTGTTTTTCTAAATTCAACCAGCTCATCACTTCCCATATCAGAGCAATATTAACCCAATCACATCCTATATGAGAGATTGTTTATGAAAGTTTTCCCCAAATTTTCTGCATTCCTTCTATTCTTGGCTAAATATTAGGTTTTATTTATAAGAGATTTTTAATTGAAAATAATCAAAATTATTCATTTTATACTTTAACAATGCTCTCTCCCTATAACATAGCTTAAGGCTGAATCTTCTTCCTTTACATCAATTTTTCCCTGGTTTCTTTGAAGTTCTTGACCTTTTAAGTTCTTCTAGGTGAACTTTATTATTATTTTTTCTAATTTAATAAGATAATTTTTTAGTAATTTAATTGGGATGGCACTGAATAAATTAGGTAAAATTGTCATTTTTTTTTATTGTACTTGTTTTACCTATCTATGAACAATAAATACGACTCCAATTATTTAGATCTGACTTTATTTATATAAAAAGTGTTTTATATTTATATTCATATAGTTCCTGTGTCTGTTTTGGCAGGTATACTATATCAGGCATTTTATACTGTAGTTATTTTAAATGGTCTAAAACAATATAAAATATTATTGCTTACAGAGTATAGTTTCCATTTTTCTCTTTTGATTAAATCTATTTGTTTTGACTGAGACCATGATTACTACCCCTGCTTTTCTTATATAATAAATTCTACTCTTGCCCTTTTATTTTTTTTGTATGTATCTCTCATTTTTACAGTGTTCTCTGAAAGCAACATATTGTTGAATTCAAATTTTTAATCTATCCATTCCCGTTCTATCATTCCATTCACATTCTAAGTTATAGTTAGTTGTATGTTTTCCTCCTTCCTACTTTTCCTCACTATCTTTTTCACCCTATTTACTCTATCCCTCCTCACTCATCTGCTTTACTTCTACCTGTTACCTTGCCTTCCTATTCCTTAACCTACCTACCCCTCTAAGAGTCCCACCCTCATCTTCTCCAATTTTAACCCCTTACCCTCTTATTTCTTTCTGAATTTAGAAGACTTTTTTTATACCCTTCAAGATATAATGCTGTTCCCTCTTTAACCCATTCCTGATGAGAGTCAGGTTCCAGTACTATCCACCCTCCCCCCACTAGCTTTTTCTGAATCAATTTTTCCTTTTATATCTTACTTATATGAGATAATTACTCCTTTTTATCTCTCCCTATGTAGTTTTACTTTTTGTAGAATCACCTCATCACACTCAGCTCAGCCCAAGCCTTTCTTTCATACTACCCAAATAATGACAGTCATAAGAGAACTGATAATATTTTCACATATAAGTAGTAAACAATTTGATCTTACTGAGTCTTTTATAATTGGTCTTTAAGGTTTACCTTATATTTCTCCTGGATGTTATATGTCTAATTTTCCCTTAGGTTCTGATGTTTTGTCACAAACACCTGAATTTTTTTTCCCCATTCAGGATTATACTTAACTTTACTGGGTAAGTTATCCTTGGTCATAACCCTAGCTCTTTTGTTCTACAAAATACAATATTCCAAAACCTATGGTCCTTCAACATAGTAGCTGCTCGGTCTTGTGTAATTGTACAGTTTATACACCAAATTGTAGCACCAACATTTAAATTTTTTCTTCTTGCTTCCAATATTTTCTTATTAATCTGGGAACTCTAAAACTTGGCTATGATATTCCTGTAAGTTTTCCTCCTGGGATCTCTTTCAGGATCAGTGGATTTTTTTCTATTTTTGCTTTAGCTTCTTGCTCTAGAATTTCAGGGGAATTTTTCTTGATAATTTCTTGTAATACAGTATCAATTAGCTTTTTTTATTGCAATTTTCATGTAGTTCGACTATTCCAATATTATTTCTCTTCAATCTGTTCTCCAGATCAGTTGTTTTTCTGACAAAATGTTTCACATTCTCTTCCATTTTTTCATTCTTTGACTGTGTTCTGTTATTTCCTGGTGTCTTAGAATACCATTAGCTTCCCCTTCTAGTTTTCAAGGAATCATTTTCCTCCTTAAGCTTCTGATTCTCTATTTCCAGTTGGCTGATTTTAATTTTCTTGATTTTCTTAGTCTGCTCTTATTTTTTTCCCCTATTCTTTTCTCAATTTCTCTTATTCGATTTTTGAAGTCCTTTTTAAGTTCTTCCAAGAACTCTTTTTGTGCTTGGGATCATTTGACATTTCTCACTGAAAACAGAGTGGCTTTTTTAGCTCCATTATCTTCCTCTGAATATGAACCATACCTTCTCTATCCCCACGGTAGCTACCTAAGGTTGGGTTCTTTTTCCTGTGCTTACTCATATTTATTTACTTTTATTTTATTTTGTTTGTAAATCAAGTTCTAGTCCTGAGGTATGGAGAATGATTCCCCAAGTTCCAGGTCCTTCTTACTGTTATTTGCTGAGGTCTGTTTCCGGGGCCCAACCTCAGGCTCTCCTCTCTACTCCTACGCCACAGCCAGGGCTCCCAGCCTCATTGTCCCTCAAATGACCTTGCTCACTGAAGTTCCTCAGATAGCTGCAAACTACAGCTGTCCTCTCTGCCCTGAAACTGAAACAAGGGACTCTGCTCTCCTGCAAGTGGCCACATGCAGCAGGGTCCCTGCCCCTCTGCTACTACATTCACCAGGTGTGTGCTAGTTCCTTCTGCCCTGGCAGCCACAGAAGAGTCTAGTCAGTAGGGATGTATTTGGCATCCTCTCCCACTCCCCACCAGTGGAAGGTCCTTCAGTCTTCTCCTCAGCCATCCAACCTCCATAGTCCTAGAGATGAAAGTTTCTAAGACTGTGGCTACCTCTCTACCCCACTGACCCCAGGACTTGTTTGCTGATTCCAAAGAGTTGGCCTGGAGGTGTCTGAACTTCATTCAAGTTGTCTAATAAGGACAACTGCTTTACCTCAACTTTTGTTTATTTCCTCTGCTCTATATTCTATATTCCCTATGAGGTTAAGTTCTGTCTTCTTTTGTGGAGGAAATTTGGAGAGCCAAAAGTTTTCTGACCTACTCTGCCATCTTCCCAGAATCCTCTCCAACAGGTGATCTTCTAAACTTTGCATCCTGACTCTTACTCCAAGCTCAGGTAACTAAATGCTCCCCAAGTCAGCCTAATTTTTTTGATAGTTGTTAGGAAGTTTTCCTTTATACTGAATTTCTATAATTTCAATCCGTTGGTATATGTTCTGTCCTCTAAGGCCATGCAGAACAAATCTCATCCTTTTTCCGATGAGAGCCCTTCAGCTATTTGAAGACAGTTAACACAGTCCCTTTAAATCTTGGCCAAATGGATATCATGAGAGACTTTATCAAAAGCCCTATTGTTATCCAGAAAGGTTAAGTTACATTACCTGGAGGAAATGTATTAAGAGAATTGACTGCTACCTTCTCTATACACTAAAAAAAGCCAAAACAGATTTACATGACAATACCTAAGCAATCAATACGGAGACATCAGACATATCACATTCACAGAATCACAGAATGCTAGGTCTGGAACAGTAAAATCCATACAGGGCATCCCCTTCATCACACAGATAAGAAGCAGCCTGCTGGTACAGTGGAAAGGGCTCTACCTTTAGACTAAGGACACAGACTGAAACCCAACTCTGTCATTTCCTACCTGTGTAACTCTGAGTGAGTTTTACTTTACCTCTCTGGGGCTCCACTTCATCATCGATAAAATGACAGGTGGGACTAACCAGGCGTAAGAAGCCTGTGGCCTCGAGGCCAAAGGAATCTCACTCCTGGACTAAACCATCTCTAAGGTACCTTACAGCTCTAAATCTCATGGTCCTGTAAAGTCAATTTGCTAAAGTGGTAAATCCAGGCTGAGAGAGAACGTAGGACCAAAACCCAGGCTTCTGGCTGTCTAGGGCTTTCTACTATAATAACATTCTGCCAGATTTTTTAACACAGGCACGCACAAACGTATATAAACATTTATTCAGTGAACCTTCTTGGAAAAGTATCATTTCTGTTTACAGATAAAGAAAATGAGGCATAGGCATAAAGAATACAAAATATTCCAAGATTTTAACCAGCATTTTATGCCTGACACCTACCAGAATTCCTGTGCTCAGATGTTAGCTCACTGCACTCTCACCACCTTATTTTAATAAAGCAAACAAGAGACTAATGGTCTTAAATTGATTTTTTTTTTACTTTCCATAATTCTAGGAAACAAAATTGAGGCGAGTAGAGAACATAGGTATGTTCACAATTATTCCTGTTATTTTATATATATATAATATATATATATATTATATATATATATATATATGTAAAAAACTGAACATTTATATAACCCCAGGATACTGACAGGTCCTTTATACCAGTAATTCTACAGTTAATGATATCTCTGACACACACCTTTGAGTGGCAGTTCTAAGAGATGCCTATGATAGTCACAACGTGTTTTGAGGACTACAGATTATGAATGAATGATAAGGGAAGGTTATACTGACAAAAGACATCCTTCCCCAGCTTTGGTGTATCCCCCCCCCAAACTACTGGAACAACAGGAACAAACTAAAGTCTCACTAAAGACATTATGTAAGTAGTTTCCTTTAGGAAACCAAATTCCAAATGGCATAGCTCTAAAATACTTCACATGGGCCTCAAACTTAACTAAGGATTCTCAGAGGCAGAGGTGAGAAGGGAGTACATTCCTGGCATTAGAGTAACTAACTATACCTTCTTCACAGGGTTGTTGTGGTAATGTATGTATAGATCTCTGTAAAACTTACAGCACTCTACGGCTACTATAATTTTCTTTTTAACATTATAACTCTCCAGCAATGTAATGGGATACCACAATTTCAGAATCAAAATTGCAGGTGATCTAAGAGGTAATGAAAAGACTTATGGTGAGAAGAAATAAGAAAGTAGTGACCAGCTACATGGAAGAAGTAGCATAGATGACTACACACACACACACACACACACACACACACACACACCCTAGACCCACAGGCTAAATGTGCGTATACATGTTTTCATATATATGTATATATAGATATATGAAACCATAAAAGGAGGTGGGACACTCATATGTAGCAATTCTATTCAATAAACACTCATTAAGTGCTTACTGTGTGCCAGGCACTGTGATAAGCACAAGGGATACAAATAAGACAAAGAGTCCTTGTCCTTGAAGAAGGTTACAATCTAGTAAAGATAAAACACAAAAGGAAGCTAGGAGGGTGAGGGTGAACATCAAGGGGTATATTATTCCATGAAGTTCAAACCAAGCAAAGTAGTACTCAAAGTGGACAGTAAACTACAAAATCCAAATACTGATAAAGGAAAGCTTCAGAGTTGGATGCTCCACCCTCCAGTCCTCCAATGAGAGGGGAGAGGAGGCTGAGGGAGTTGGGAAGGTATTGAGTAGCCAATGCTGAGTTAGCAGCATGGTGACGGATATTTCTAGTGATCAGCTTATTCTGGAAGGGGTCTCTTTTTCTGAGTACAGTGCTGAAGATGGAGCCCTGAGGTACACTTACAGTTAGCGGGCATAATACGGATGAAGAACCAGTAAAAGAGATTGAGAATGCACAGTCACAACCAAGAAAGAGAGCAGTGTCATGAAAACCCAGAGATTAGAGAATCACCAACAGCAGCAAATTCTGTAGATAGAAGAGGATGTAGAAGAAAAAAAAATCAGATCTGGTAATAAAGAAATACCTCAGTGGCAACGCTGGTGAGAGCAGTTTCACTTGAATGCGGTAAAAAACCGTCCTGCATCCTTTGACCCAACAACAGCACTTCTAGGGCTGTATCCCAAAGAGATCATACAAATGAGAAGAGGATCCATATGTACAAAAATATTTATAGCAACTCTTTTGGTGATGGCACAGAATTGGAAATTGAGAGGGTGCCCATTAATTGGGAAATGGCTGAATAAGTTGTGGTATATGAATGGAATGGAATACTGTTGTGCTGTAAGAAATGATGAACAGGCAGACTTCAGAAAAACCTGGAAAGACTTGTATGGTCTGATGCTGAGTGAAGTGAGCAGAACCAGGAGAATGTTGTACACAGCAACAGCCACATTGTACAATGACTAATATTGACAGACTTAACCCTTCTTAGCAATACAAGGATCTAAGACATCTCCAAAGGCCTCAAGATGGAAAATGCTATCCACATCCAAAGAAAGAACTATGGAGTTTCAACGCAAATCAAAGCATACTATTTGCTATTTTTTTTCTTCTGTTGTGTTTTGCTTCTTCTTTCTGGTGGTTCCTGTTGGTTCTCATTCTTCCTTATAACATCACTAATGTGAAAATGTTTAAGAGGAATGTATATGTATAGCCTACATCAGACTGCGCACCTTCTTGGCGAGGGAGGTGGAAAGGGAGGCGGTGAAAAATTTAAAACTCAGGGGCAGCTAGGTGGTGCAGTGGATAGAGCATCGGCCCTGGATTCAAGAGGACTTGAGTTCAAATCCAAACTCAGACACATAACACTTACTAGCTGTGTGACCCTGGGCAAGTCACTTGACCCCACTGCCTAACCAAAAAAACAAAAAACAAAAACAAAAAAATTTAAAACTCAAAAGCTTATGGAAGTGATTGTTGATAAATCAAAATAAATTAAACAAAAAAAAGAAAAAACACCATCCCACAGAGAGTTTAGAAGACAGTGAGAGGAGAGAAAGTATAGGCAGCTTTTTCCAAGAAATTAAAAGGAAGGAAAAGCAATAAAGGACAATGCCTAGTGGGGATAGTAGATAGATACGTAGGGCAGAGTGGATGATGAGGTAGACCTGGGCCTATTTACTACGAAGCAGTAAAGGGATCAGAACACAATGTTTAACTGAAGATGAGAAGGAAAGAAAAGATAATATTGAGAATAATCTGAAAGACAAAATGAGAGGGAATAGGATCAAGGGCACAGGCTGCTAGGTGGCTCAGTAGAGTGCCAGGCCTAGAGTCAGGAAGAATCATCTTCCTGAGTTCAAATCCAACCTCAGACACTTATCAGCTGTGGGACCCTGGGCAAGTCATTTAATCCTCTTTGGCTCACTTCCTCAACTGAAAAATGAGCTTGAAATAGAAATGGCAAACCACTCCAGTATTTCTGTCAAGAAAACACCAAAATGGGCTCAGAGAGTAAGAAAAAACTGAATAACAAAAGTTCAAGAGTACACTTGTTTTTGAGGTTGTTTTTTTTAAAATGTCATCTCATCATAACTGGAGCAAAGGAGATAGTGGGAAATCATATCAAGATGATGTGATTTAACAAAAAAGAGGGAGCTCTTGATTTTTCAGAGAGTTGTAAAGAAAATTCCTCAGCTGAGTAGGTGAGGCCTAGAGAAGTTTTGGAACAGTGCTATTTAATGAGATAAAAAATCAATTAGGGAGAAAGATAGATTTGCACCATTGATCCATACATTTTAAACATAATTTTGGAAAAGCTTCCATCCCTTTTTTTCTAATAAGGAGAAAAAATTGAAAAAAAAAGTTTGGAGATAATGAAAACAAGGTTCTAGAAAATGATGATTCTAAGCATAGTGGAATGGAGAGAGGACAGGATTTCAAGTCAGGTGTACTGGGTGTGATACCTGCCTCTGTTACTCCATACCCCCGAAAAATCATTTTATCTTTTGTGTCTCATTTTCCTCATCTGTAAGATGACAAGAATGGACTGGATAATTCCTAGGTCCCTTCTCGCTCTAATGCCTACATTATAAGTCAATTAGTGGTAGCCACACCAATCACAACTGCTTGATATATAAATGGGCAATATTACATTATTTTATGATAGACCTCGAATCAAACCACATCACGATATCACTTAAGTCTTACTCTCAGTCCACACAACTATCTTACCCCAAACAGCTGCCCTCATCTTAAGACACAATTACAGATATTCAGCATTTAGATTAGAAAAATGAAAACTAAAACATATTGGGGACTGTGGAAAGATGGCGTCACACTCTGAAGAACGGAGTTCAAATTTTACCTCTGACCCCAAACTGCCTGTGTTGACAATCCTGGGCAAGTTAAGCTCCGAGTTTCTTTATGTGTAAAATCAGGGATGGGCTGGTGACCTCCGGAGTCTTCCCTTCTTTAAGGACCTGAGGTTTGTTCGGGGTGAGTACTCCCCCTGCTAACGTCAGTCGGAAGCCCCTCTAGGAGCGGGGTCCTGGAAAGCGGAGGGAGCCGAGGGCGTCGAGGCTGCAGCCAACGGTCCAGGAAGACCCCTGGCGCGTAGCCTGTAAGGCTTGGGACCCCGGCTTCCCGCGGCGTCGGAGGAGATGGGAAGCGTAACGCCCGTAGGGGCGCGAGGGATCCTCACCCTCGGGATCCTCACCCTCGGGATCCTGCTCGCAGCCACTTCGACCTTGTCCTTCCGCCCCTGTCCGGCCCAGGCCCGGGACCCCCCTCCACCCCCTGGATCTCGCCGCCACTGCCAGCCCCTAACGCGGCTTCCCTCCCGGACGCTCCCCCGCACCCCCGCGCTCGGCCAAGTCCCAACGCTTCCCTCCCTGGCTTCTTAGGCCCCGCCTCTTGCACGCCGGAAGCCCAGCCTGGGAGTCCTCCGGCACAGCAAGAACCCGTAGGGTCCGAATCCTGACAGCGCGAGGTGTGCCCGGCCCAGGCCCTACCTCCGGCCCAGGCCCATCTCTCTTTCCTCAGGCCCGGCAGAACACGTCCAAGCAGCCAGCGAACGCTACAGCCAACGGACAAGGAATGAACGACCGACCGCAAGCCGGCAGGAAACGGGATGCTTCCCTCACAGCCTAACTTCCTCTCCCCCAGCTCGCGGGGGCTTCTGGATCTTCGCCTCCGTGTAAAGCGCCTCCTGATTGGTCAGAAGGAGGGAAGGGCGCGTGTGATTGGCTCCTCGGTTTGTTTATCTTTGTGAGGGCATGGGCGATGCGGGGGGGCAGAGGCGGGGGTGGGGGCAGATCTTGGGAGCGTTTGAACCTAGAATGCCCGAGCTGGGAGGGACCTTAAAGCCTAGACTGCAGCAGCTAGGTGGCGCGGTGGAGAGAGCACCGGCCCTGAAGTCAGGAGCACCTGAGTTCAAATGCAGCCTCAGACACATAACACTCACTAGCTGTGTGACTCTGGGCACAAGTCATTTAACCCCAATTACCTCACCAAAAAAACAAAAACATAGACTGAATTGGAAAAGGACCGTAGAATGGAGAACCTAGACCATCAGAGCTGGGACGAAACTTCGAACACAATGTGGAAGGAATATTAAAACATGGAATGTCAGAGCTGGGAGGGAACTTGGAACACAAAATATCAGAGCTGGAAAAGAACCATAGAACATAGACTATCAGAGCTGGAAAGGATCATAGAACATGGGATATCAGATCTGGAAGGGATTCTTAAAACATGGAATGTCAGCGGGGAGGGACCTTTAAAACCTAACATCAAAGCTGGAAAGAGACCTTAGAACATAGAACGTAGAATGTTAGAGGTGGAAGGGACCTTAGAACAAAGACAGTAAGAGCTGAAAGACTTTAGAACATGTAATACCAGCACTGTACAGTCCTTAGAAAATAGAACAAAGAGTAAAGTAAAACCAATGTAGTCAGGATTAAAAGGAAAACAAAATGGGGGGGGGAATTTAATTGGTTAAAGGCCTCATCTCAAATATATAGAGAATTTTGTAAAACTTATAAGAATATGAGTTATCCCCCAGTTGATAAATGATCAAAGGATATAAACAGGTAGTTTTGGAAAATGCTCCAAATCATTATTGATTAGAGAAATGCAAATCCAAACAATTTTGAGATGCCATCTCACACCTATCAGATTGGATACAGTGATAGAAGGGGAAAATGACAAATGTTGGAGGGGATATGAAAATTTAGGACACTAATACACTTGGTGGAACAGTGATCCAATTGATCCAACCATTTGGAGAGCAATTCGGAATTATGCTCAAAGAATTACCAATTGACCCAGCAATACCACTATTAGGTCTGTTTCCCAAGGTGATAAGGAAAAAAGGAAAGGAACTTATATATTCTAAAATATTTGTAGCCGCTTTCTTTGTGATGGCAAAGAACTGGAAATTGAGGGGATGCCTATCCATTGGGGAATAAATGAATAAGTTGTGGTAGAGGATTGTGATGGACTACTACTGTGTTGTAATAAATGATGAGCAAGTTGATTTTAGAAAAGCATGGAAAGACTTGCGTGCTTAATGAAGAGTGAAGTGAGCACAGCCAAAAGAACTTTGTATACAGTAAGAGCAATTGCTCAAAGAGTAAGCTCTTCTGAGCAAGATGGATATTCAGATCACTACAAAAGAAGATGCTATTCACCTCCAGAAAAAGAAATGATATATGGAAGTATGTATTATATGGTTTCACGTATGTATGTGTCAAATGCTGGTCTTCTCTAGTGCAGGGCTGGGCAGGAGGGAGGAATACAGCTTGGAACTCAAAATATAACAATAGATAAATAATTTTAAAGAGGGAAAAAAGAAAATAGAACATAGAATGTTAGAGCTTGAAAGACCTTTAAAACACAAAATGGCTGCATGCTGCCAGCAGAGTGGGGCCCAAACCAGATTAAAATGTAATTGTTTAACAAAATAAATAAAAATAAAATACAACGAAGATAATGAATGTTAAATTGTAGTTTTCTAAGTCAGTATGTGCTTGCAGGGATCCAGTTCTATTTGATTTTGACACTGTTGTTTCAGAGCATAAGATATTATAGCTGGGAACATGGAACATAGAACAGAATGTTAAGGTTAGAAAAGGTCTTACAGAGCACCTAGTACAACCCCATAATTTTGCAAAGCAGGTGCAAAGTCTGCCCTTGGTCATCTGGTCCATTTTTACCTGAGAAAGAAGAGATGGTGTAGAGGAAAGAACATGGACAGGGATCTAGGAAGTCTTGGATTCAAGTTCTAGCTCTTACATTGACCTGGGTAAATAATTTACCTTCTCTGGGTCTCAGTTACTTTCTTTAACTACGTGGCCTCAAAGGTTTTTCATACCCTGAAGGCAAGGCATACTATGATTTCAAAATATATTGGGGCAGAAGGTCTTTGTGTTTATCATTTGACATTCTTGCCTTTATATCACTTGGAGGTATCCTCAGCAGCTAGGTGGCTCCGTGGATGGAGCCCTGGGCCTGGAGTCAGGAAAACTCATCTTCCTGAATTCAAATCTAGCCTTGGACACTTCCTAGCTGTGTCACCCTGGGCAAGTCACTTCAAACCCTGTTTGCCTCAGTTCCTCATCTGTAAAATGAGCTGGCGAAAGAGACAGCAAACGACTCCAGTATCTTTGCCAAGAAAACCCCAAATGAGGTCATGGAGAGTTGGACATGACTGAAATCACTGAACAATATAGCAACATCCTCATCTCACAGAATAAGTCACCCAGACAAAGTCCTCCCAGTTTCTAGGTCTGCATCCACTCAAAGCGATCGTTCATGTGACCTCACCAACGTGTTTAACTTTATTAGGCAGGGGACACAATGTGCTCAAAAATGGTATTTTTAAAATAGCATAGTAATAAAAGTAAAAACAAAATATTCTCCCCATCCCACTAAATTTGGGACACACTTTTGCAAAGATCATCACTAGTAAGAGTGGGTGCATATAAGGAATATACGGAAAGGCACACGTTTAGGGAAAACATGTGGCCAAGACAAATTTGTAAAGGCATGCACACGTAGGGACTACAAGTGACCTGGATATATGTTAATGGCACACACGTAGGGAACATGTGACCAGGACACGTGTACAGAAACAACCTGTGCCTTTAGCAGTGCAGGACTACTTGTGTTTTTTGGTAATATTGTGCTTCAGTTACTAATTAATTGATAGTATTATGAAATGTCAGTTCAGTGCTGCTTCTGCCAGGCCTGCTTCCTAATCGGACGCTGTCTTTTGGGGCATGTAGTTTCTGCTGTGCTGGATGCAGGGCTGCTTCTGACCGCCACTGGGTGAGGTTTCACCACCAGGTGTGAGTATATGGAATCTCTACTTGTAGCTTCATACAGAGTACTTAACTGTTTCTTCCTCAGAAGACTGGGTTCTTTTTTTTCCCTTCAAGTAGTCTACCATGATGGAAAATGCTATCCACATCCAGAGAAAGAACTATGGAGTCTGAACTCGCATCAAAGCATACTATTTTCTTTTTTTTTCTTTCTCATGGTTTCTCCCTTTTGTTCTGATTCTTCTTTCACAACATGACTAATGTAGAAATATATTAATATGATGGCACATGTGTAGCTCATATCAGATTGTGTGCTGTCTTGGGGAGGGGGAAAATTTAGAACTCAACTCTTATAAAAGTGAATTTGAAAACTAAAAATAAATTTTTAAAAAGTAGTCTGTTTAATTCAATGCTAAGCTTTTTAAGGTAGAAGAAAGTGATTCCCAGCTAACTAGCTAGCTAGTGCTCTAAGTTTGATTATATTTTTCTGAACTCAACTTCCTGGTTTCTGGGCTTAGGGTCTCTAGGTCAGAGACCCTGATCTGGCTTAGCATAGCTATATCCCCCATGCCTCTTTATTTCTGAAGGTTAGACTATGTCTTAGTCAACCTCCATTCTAAAGGGTGTCTCTCTCTGCCCCCTCCCCGCAACAAACTGGCAAGGGCTTTTGGGATCCTGGGTCCCTAGTTTCTTAATACAAAATTCCTTTGCATCTCTATGAGGATGAATCAGTGGAGTGGTGGTAATTAATAAGTGGAGGCTCAGAGAAAAAACTAAGCCTGGGGCCATATTATTTTCCCTCAGCCTAGACAAATTTCTGCCTTTATTATGCATTATCCAGTAGAGTTTAAATCCTTTTCTGGATTTTGGTCCCTTATACCTTATTTCATGTAAAATAAAGAGTATAGTAAGTTAAGAAGTTTCCCAGTGGCATGATGAGTTATGAGAATGATTGTGGTGGATTTTGGAGACTGTTTGGTGGGGAGTTTGAGGAGGGAAGAATCCACAATGAGAAGGCTTGGTTAATATTAGCTAAATCTAAGCTACTGATTCAAATCCTGTGATTGACAGGTTTGTTACTGTTTAGGGCCAGTAATAGTATTTTGTTCTGCATCTCTCCAAAGCAGTTATCACACAATATTATGTACTATAATTATCAGTATGGCTGTCTTTGTCCTACTATACGAGGGGTACGGAACCTGCAGCCTCGAGGCCATATGTGGCCCTCTAGATCCTTGGGTGAGACCTTTTGACTGAGCCCCAAGTTTTACAGAACAAATCCCCTTAATAAAAGGATTTGTTCTGTGAAGTTTGGATTCAAAGGGCCACACATGTGGCCTTGAGGCCATGGGTTCCCCACCCCTGTAGTAGACTGTTAAGTTCAGTGAAGGAAAGAATCATGATAAATGCTTATTGAATTCATGAATTAAAATTGTTAGTTTTTTTTGTTCAAACACATGAATTTAGCAACTACAAAATCACGTGGTTTCAGAGTTGGAAGGGATTGTGGTGGCCATGGGTAAATGAAAAGAACTACCTACCTTCCAAAGCAGCTCCTTACACTTTTGGGAAGCTCTATTTGTTAAAAGCCTCTACAATTTCTACATATTGTTCCTAATTCAGCCTTCTGGGGTTGAGCAAAGCAAATCTAACACCTCTTTCAGATGACAGCCTTTCAGCTTTTTGGAAGACATCTTCCTAACTCTTTTCTCCAAGCTAAACATCTCCAGGTCCTTTAACTAACCCTCTTACGGTACGACATTGAGGCCCTTCTGGTTGCTATACTTTGCACACTATCTACCCTGAAATGTTACACTAAGAACTGAACACTCTAGATTTGGTTTACTAAGGGCAGAACACAGCAGTACTAG